CTCATGGGCCATCCCACGTGACCTCGGCTTTTTGAAAGTATTTTGTTATGTACCATATCGAATGGAAAACAGCTCCTTTCGGCTGTCTTATGTGGGCATTTCCTAATCCTAACACTCTGACATTGTGCCAACCACATCTGTGTTCCATTTCCATACTGCATGCCAATACTATAAAGTATACACTAAGTACAAATGGACTGTTCTGGAGGTTAATATACAATTAATTTACTGTACACATTTGTACTGACAGGAAATGATAGACCCATATTTGCGCCAGTGAATGTCAATTGAGCTGTTACTGTGGAGCACTATGACCAGTTTTATATTTAAAAAATATCACAAATAGCCACTAAATGTGTCTTTTCCTGAACTAATTCATGTATTTTCCAGGGTTGTGAGTGGAGCTTCCACTTTAAGAGTACAATACAACGCAATACAACTTTATTGTCCACAATAGTGGCTTTTAATAAATCTTCAAAGCATACGACATTTAGACATAAAGAATAAACAACAATGAAATATAAACTACTATTATGACTGATGTCTCTTCCACTAGTTGTTGTAGACATATGTCAGTGTAATTCTCACTCAGTTCATAAATTCACTTTATCACTTTATGTTCTTTACTACTAGCATGTGTATGTGTTTATATTATGTATGAGTATATGTTATTTTGCTGAAGGGTAGTTTTTGGGAAAGCTGTGAGTAGGTAATGTATATATACATGTATATATGTGTGGGCATGTATTTTCATTTGCAATTATTATAGTGACTCAGAGGGATCTTATTTATATGTTTTTACACTTATAAATATTGTTATTTCCTTCCTTTTTTTAAACTAGTATTCACTGCTGTATTGCTGACTTTATGTCTGCATCTTTTTGATTCAAATGATAAAGATAAACATTTTACCACAAAAAAACAATTATTACCACATCTCATCACGTAAACATGATCTGTGATGTTATTTCTGCCTTCGGCTGCTAGTTTGCTTTTTCAGCTATCACCTGTCAGATACACAAAAGCAGAACTCACACCTGTGGTTTGTGTAATGTTAAAAGTGTCTCCGACTGTTAATGATACTGTATGTTTTTTTTCTGCTTTTATTCATACCATGTGGCAGGTGACATTCAACAGGTACACTTTAGCCCTCTGTGGGCTTCCCGTTCCCCTCCCATAACAGTAAAAAATAAAAATAGGACACATCCGCCTGGCCTCGCTTTTATGAAGGTGAAACTCCCACAGTTCCTCTGTTTCTGTGTCCACTCTTAAACTCACTCTTTTGCTCAGTCATCTGGTGAGTCCTTCCTGTGTCAAGAGGTGATGTAAAATATAGAGTATAAACTTCCAGAAGTGTCTGGATGGAGAGGGTTGAGGGGGTGAGGAGAATGTGTGTGGAGGGGTGGGGGAGTAGTATTAAAAGTCTCACTAATGTCACAGTATGATATGAATATCTAACACTATTAATGCCAAATGAGTTATATCATGGGAAGAGTTGTATTTTAGGACTAATGTTTACATCACACAGACCCTGTTTCATTTTTTTTTTGTCATTATAGATTAAACCATCTGTTGAAATGTGGGTGAGAGCAATGTTATGGCTAGGAACAAGCAGACAGATAGCAGTGATAAACGTCATAAAAAAGCAAGGAAACTAGTGACAGAGGGGTGTTTGGAGCCTTCTGCTTAACGCCTGTAGCCTGCGGGCAAGGCACCTACCCTCCTTGCCTGGAGCACGTCTGGCTTTTTGTCTGGCTTTTACAGGAGAGTAGACAGATTACTTGCAAGGGTTGAGACGGTTCAGTGAGCTGAAGGTACTAGGTGACATGGCAGCATGAGGGGGGAGGGAACCATATCCTTTTACAGTCTGGAAATAAAGCAGGCCAGCGGCGGTGGAACGGCCCTGCGTCTGTCATCTTATTGGGCCATTGGATGATGAGGCCACGGCAGCACCACTGGTGGTGGAGGTCCAGCACCAGACTGTAGCAGACAGGGAGGTCATTTAACATGACAGAAATATTTTATGTGTTATTGAACAAACTCCTCTAACTGTCCTGTATAATGCCTGACATTACCCTCATAACTGCATCTGTCTATTATTTATGAGTCTTTGCCTGTGGTTGTATCATAAAATCATACGATAATTAGCCTACTGGTTATAGAGGTTTGAGTCAGCTTTTTAATGGAATAAGAGAACTGTTAATAGAAACTGAGAATATTTTGACATTTAAGGAAATATGCTTATTAGTGATAGACCACTTAATCGGTCGTCCCCTTTATTTTGAAATTTGAGATAGTTGTAAATGTCTGCAGGCACATCTACAGGCAGTCTTGTCAGTGTGGAACAATGTTAACACTCCACCTTGAGAGTTTTGGGAAGGTGGTGAAAAAGTTTGGAGCCCTGTACTGACACTCTAATGCATTCTGTTGTAAACATTTGCCTAAAAATCACCTTCGTCCATTCTAAATGACAGCAAATCTGAACTAAAACCATTTCTGGATAGCTTTAAATATAATGTTATAATGTATAGAATAATACAGTATAATGATTTACAGCCAATAATAATCTATAAGCTATAACCCAATGTGTTTTTCTATTTCATTATTTAATAAATATTCCATCTAAAACAACATGTTACTGGCCAAGATAACCATGTATATTGGATTGTAATGTGCATGGTACTATGGAATTATATATGACTTTTCTTTGTTTTGACATTATATATATTATAGCCAGCAGCCAGTTATCTTAGCTTAGCATAAAGTCTGGAAAGAGCAAGCCTTTTCCCTGTCTGCCTCTTAAGGTCACCAAATAAAGTTATTATAAGTATGGTTCAGAAACAAGACCGCACCTCATTCAGTAATCCTATCACCTGCGCCTCGCTGACTCAACCTGTGATTCTCTAATTAAATCCCCTGTGCACACCTACGTAAGTGTGTCTAACCCCTCGCTCCCGTTTATCTCAGTTTTCACAACCTAGCCTTCGAATCCGAATTCTCTCTTCCCTCGCAGTGGGCACTACGGCGGCTAAGCGGTCAGCACTGTGGCCTCACAGGAAGAAGGTCCCGGGTCTGAACCTCCACCTTCACAGGTTTGCACATCCTCCCTGTGTTTGCATGGGTCTCCGCCGGGTGCTCTAGTTTCCTCCCACCATCAAAGACACACATGTTAGGGTTAATATTTCCTCTAAGAAATTCTTTTTTATGTCTATTATTGGAACCACTGGGGATGATGACGTCATCGAGACCCCCACCCTGAGACACCTTGACAGGGAGTTATGTACAGGACTATTTCTTGGCCGGATGTAGTGACTTCCTGGAGTCTCAGCCTGGCAACCTCACAGTGATGACATGACTCCTGGTAGTTACTGCACCCATATACTTTGACCCATTTTACACACTGTTCTTTTTTTTACGGATTAAACAAACAATATATTTTGTGTAAATTAGTGAGCTTTAGAGGTGCAGGTAGGCAGACCAGGCTAGCTGTTTCCCCTTGTTTCCAGTCATTGTGCTAAGCTAAGCTAGCAGTTGTCTAGGGCTAAGCTACCTGGGTGCTGTATTTAACAGACATGAGAATGGTGTTAATCTTCTGATCTAACTCTCAAGCAGCAAGAAAGCCACTTAAAAATGTCATACTATTCCTTTAATGATGCGGTTCAGTCTAATTGAAGTTGTGTAACAGAGGAAAAACAACAAACAGCTGGAGTTAAAGAGCGTAAAGGAATTTGTTTGTGATGTGCGTTGCTTTCATCCTGCCAAGGGAATACACCACAGACTGGCTGAGATTAGACATCCTTCCTGCAGCATTTTTCATGGTGACTCCTGGGATTTGAGGATCGAAAAACATGCAAGTGATGTACAAAGAGAACAGCTCAAGGTGCATCACCCTATGGCCCCGTGGATCATCTGGAGACAACCGAAATAACCCATGCAAATCTAAAAACACACAGACATGAACCCCGTCCCCTTTAAACATAAGAGGCCGTCCCTGTGACGAGAGTCGCAGTATTCCAGGAATGTCCTGATCCGTCCTGATGCCTTGGGGAAGAAACTGAGAAATGGCTGTCTATGGACCCCTCCCTTCTTCTCCTTTAACATATACACGCACACATATGAGAGGAGGATTCATATGACAGGTCATATGTACAATGAGAACAGATTACTCCTGACCTCATGTGTCCATTCATGTATGATGTAAGTCCTCAATGACAGAGTTCCCTTTTGATCACTCCTCTGCCTGTCTTGTCTTTGGCTGTCCTCCACACATTACAGCTTTTTACATGGTATCCAATGATTATGATACATCTTGTGAGCCACTGGCAAAGCTACTTGTAATAGCATATACCCATCTTTTTTCTTGAAATGTGTCTTGTCTCAATGTGGTGATGTCAATGTTAAAGTTTTAAAAAAAGGTGTGCAACTGGATGATTATTGGGGTCAAGGGTTTTGTGACCCCCTCAGGTCCAGGGATGTCTGACGAGGCAGGTAAAGCGTGGTTAATGAGTGGCAGTTAGAAACTAGTGCTGATATGTGGCAGGAATGCAACACAATGACACACTTGTCGTTCAGTGCTGGAGTGCCTGGGTGGTTTGTGGAGGCAATCTAAAAGTCTCAGTTATTAGACCAGTGCTTTTCTAAACTAAATCGCATGACAACTAACTTCTTTCATTATGGGTGCTTATTGAGGAATGCAGAGAAAAAAAAGTTAAGGCTGCTCTAGGGTGAAATGTGAATGTTTTTGTTTTAGGCAAGTAAAATTGTCTTGTGTGTAAGGGAGATTGATCATTAATGGTAATAATATTAAAAAAGGATAATGACAGAAGCAGAAGTATCACAATCACGACCCTTTAAAATACAATATGTGGCAGAAAGTCTGACAGAGACAGTTTTGATATTATTTGGAAAGTCTGATTTTAGGAATCAGAGTGGGAGGGGTCTGGGAAAAGACGAGAATAGGGCGGTGCTACCCTCTTCATATTCCCAAATGTCAATGAACTCTCCACAACAAGTTGATCCCTGAAGTGCGTGGGATGGAATAATTTAAGGATAAGGACTGCAGAGATCTCAGATAATACGAGTTAAATCTAATGAAGCATTTATACACCATGACAGACAGACAATAAGCTTCCTGCCTGTTGCGTTTCCTCATCTCTGCGTCTTAACAGTTTGTAAGTAGTGATTTTATTTCGGAAAGGGACGTGTTGGATTATTAACCAGTGGATATCCTCGGGCCAAGCTATTAACGGCGCGTTTCCTGCTTTTAAGGAATATACGACAGGTGACTTTATGTAGAGGTACAACATGTCCTTCAGTATGAGACTGTTTGCTTTACTTTTCATTATCCCGTTGTGCGCATCCTCTCCTCTGTCAGCCGGTGAGTTTGAACTGTCTCAGACTTTTACGCACGCACTTTAGGAAGATGTTAATAAATAAAACAAGCATTGGGCGTGCTATTTTGTGCCTCATTGCATTAAAAGTGCACACATTTCTCTCACCTTCACTGAAATTGTACTAATTTAACAACACTTGTTCTTACCAAAAACGTCTAAACCCAAAGGTCCAGCTGCGGAGAGCCGCTGCTTCGGCCGAGCTTGCAACCCCCGCATTGGCAACTTGGCCCAGGGTCGAGTGCTGAGCACCCAGTCGGTCTGCGGCTCCAACTCATCTGAGCCTTACTGCTTCTATAAGCAGACCGCTGCCCCCCGCATCAGGGAGTCCTGCTCGGCAGCAAAATGCGGCAAATGCAACGCAGCTTTCCCCAGCCAGGCGCACCCTCCCTCTGCCATGAGCGACTCCTCTTTCCGCTACCCTGACACTTGGTGGCAGTCTGCAGAAGGGGTGAAGGAGGAAACGCTCCAGCTCGACCTGGAGACTGAGTTCATCCTCACCCACCTCATTCTAGTGTTCCGCTCCCCCCGCCCCGCTGCCATGGTGCTGGAGCGCTCTCAAGACCATGGGCGCACATGGAAGACCCTCAGGTATTTTGCCAGGGACTGTGAGGAGGTGTTTGGCCTGGTAGAGGGGTCGCCAGGTGGGGAGAGTGGAGCTACCTGCACCTCCAAGTATTCAGGAGCTTTCCCCTGTGCCAGAGGAGAGGTGAGTAGATTGGCTGGCCTAGAAAATTTTACATGAGGTGAGAAGGGGATGGTGTGGTTGGGAGCTTAACAAGACACATGATATAGTTAATAACTACACAGATTATGTTTTACTGAGGAAAAAAGTATACTTTACTTCAAAAGGTGGCAGCTGCCCCCCCATGCTTACCTTTAGATCCACCCCTGTATGTAGTATTGTAGAAAAAAAACAGTATATATATAAATTAAACTCCAAAAATCACCACTGTGTCTGTTATTATGAGCTGTAACACATTTTCTGATAAATATCTCCCTGGAAATATAAAGTCCTGGGCAAAATGCAGTTATTAAAGTAAGTAAGTAAGTAAATTTAATTTATAAAGCACATTTAACACAGAATAAAAGGACGAGAAGGTGTGTACAGTGGGATGACTAAAAAAAGGCAAATAATAACAGAAAAAACACATTGGTAAATAACTAAAAAGACAAATAAAACAGAAAAAACACATTGGACCAATAGTCAATAATTCAATAAAACATGAATAAAAGAAAACCTTCAATATTGGGGCACACAACAGAGTGCAATGAGTTGTGGTCCACTGTTCTGTATTATATCACACAAAACCAGTCATATCCAGACTATAAAACAAGCAGACTGACAGCTAATTAATTAAAATGAGCTAAATCCTTAATTTAAACAACGGAATCTGGAAAATCTATGTCACAAAATGATTCCACAGAGAGTTTTTGGACATTATTATAGAATTACCTCCCAGCCCTAATCTTCACTGAATTAAAACTCTACTCTTACTTAATGATCAGTAATCTTTAAGGTGCGAGGGGGGATGCTGTAGCTCAGTGAAACACTGAAGGAAAAGTTTGAATATGGGATTGTGATTTTATTCCTGAGATCTGAGAGTGACCACATCAAAACACGCTGCCAGACATTCACCCAGCACTTCACAGCAATAACACTCACCATCTGCTCTGCTTTTGTGGTCCATTTATTGGCACCAGGATGCTCTACAAGCTGATATCACACAAACCACTGAACAAACAGTTGACCAAGCTTTGTAAACTGATCTCTGGCCTGTGGGAGACCTTTTTTGTTAGGCCAGCCTTCTAAGCCACAAACTGCTTTGACATGCACGGCTAGAATATCAGTGTTCACTTTTACCTCTGATGTTCCCTCAAAGCATTTTTTGGGACCTGCTGTATCATCACAGGGCGGGCTGAGCCAGATAAGCAGCCATGGTTAATTCATGAGCACACCGTTCATTCACGCTGCTGGTGTAAAAGAGAGACTCTCACTGGCTAGTAAAAGGTTTGCTTTGCTCCAGAGAGACTCAGACCACATTGGGAGGCTCTGCTTGAACATCTGAATGAATATATGGCTTTGACTGATCTCATAATTGCAGTGTATTTATAAAAAGTATGTGTCTCCCTACAGTATGTCATCTCTCTTGTGTAAGCCCCTTACCCTTTATAATTAGTGTCTCTGTTGCTCAACATGCAAAGACAACCACAAAATGTTGTGTGAAAATGCAAAGCGTGTCAGTAATAAAGTAATGCTGCAAACATTGTATATTTAGTTTAAACTTGCAGAAATTAACTAAAGTAATACATACGTACAATGCTCACTACAAGTGAACATTTTCTTATTTTAAATTAGAATTAGATTTTTTTGTCAAGAACATTAATCATACAGTAAGTCTTGTTGACATCTGTACTGTATAACAGTCATTGTACAAAATGTATTCATTATGATGCCGCATTTATATTCTGCACAGTACAAATGGACAATGCAAGATGCAATAAGTTTGGATTGAAGACAATAAAATGATATTGGGGAAACTTTCACTCAAGGTGTAGGCTCTTGGAAGAAATTAGTTCAGTTCAGTTCAATTAAATTGGTTATAATTGAGTTCATGATTTTGAAAAGTTCTTTGTAATTCTTAAAAAAAGGATGTTTTGGAGAGTTTTCATCTTTCACTGACACACACAGAGATTTTGATTGAAAAACAAAATGCATTAAGGGTTACCAGATTTATATAACTCCTATATACACTCCTAACAGAATACTTGGTGTACTGTGTCCTGGTGTTATGATGAAGAGTAATGACCTGGGTTTTTTAAATCTGCACACATTTTATATACAGACAGAGAGGATGTATCTAAAAGATCAACATTCAACAAAACTTAATTAAGAAGAATAAGAACCATTTGTCCATGTTTACATTGGAGCTAGTCTGATTTTACGAGGATATCAGCTATTTGAGGAGCATGAAAGGCGAGCCAGATTGATGCCTGTTTTTTATTTGGCAGATCAAGAAAGGACATAACGGACATAATTTATGTTTTCGTCATGGTGTGTCAGTTTTTCTAAGATCAGTTTATTTTACTTGTTAGAGAGGCCTTTTACAAGTGGAATAACAGAGATTTTGAGAGATTTTTCCCCCCCTCTATATCTCCAGGTGATTTATCGAGCCTTGTCGCCCTGGCAATCGGTGGATCCCTATGGACCAGCCGCCCAGGAACAGCTCATGATCACCAACCTGAGAGTCCGTCTGCTGCAGCGCCAGTCGTGTCCGTGCCAGGCCAAACATCCTGGTGCTGACGTCCTCCCCACAGACCATTATGCCATCTATGATTTTATTGTCAAAGGCAGTTGCCTTTGCAATGGACATTCTGACCACTGCATACCAGCCAGGGGCTACCAACCCCGCCAACAGAAGACCAGTAATATGGTGAGTGACTTTGAGCTGGATTTTGTGAACATACAGCTTGCAGATGCATGGTGGCAGAGCTCTTGCACAGTTTGTTCTGTTGTTCAAATCTACGTGTCAAGCTGAAGTCTGCCGATGGCTTCATTGTGTCTCCATTTGTTTAATGTAGTGAGATCGGGAGTGGAGGGTTTGGGGTTTTGTTCCCACCACTCCCTTGTTACTCAGCTGTGCGCTGGTATGTGCTGCTGAATCTGAAGGCTGCAGTGAAGACTGGATATTAGGCCACAGCTTTACCTACCATTACAGGGATTTAAGGATGTGGAAAACCTTAATTATGGTATTCAGACTAATGCTTTAACAACCCATAGTCTCTGTGGTGTTATTCTCTTTATTGTAAATGGAGAATAGAAGCACTTGTTTAACTCCAACATGGTTTGAGGGGGTGTAGACATGTTACACAGGCGGTCATAAGCTGCACAACTTGTAACCACTTTGATTGTGTACATGTTTGTATGTTGCAAGAAGTATTACACACACCACATGTAGGTTGCAAGGCTGCTGGAAATCAGCATCAATGAAAAGAGTAATGCCTGCACAGAAACCACACATTTATTTAAGTGGATAATGTTTTGATTCCAGTAGGATTTTCATCAGGCTAAAATATTTTAAAATGGCCACCACACCCTTTATATACACCAGTAGACTGATGGCAGGCTCCATGATGACAGGTGTGGTTAACCATTCAACCTATCTGGGGTGGTAAATGTCTCAAAACAATTCAAACAATCTCAAAAATGCATTAACCCAAAGAAGAGTGGGAGTACAGTACAATATAATACAATAAAGAGTATGTTGCAGCATTTGTTTGCTTACTTTTCAGTCAACATTTAAAAGGTGCATGCAGGAATAATACATTTCCAAATAATTTTCTGTTTGTGGTCTTCCCGACAGGTCCACGGCAAGTGTGTTTGCAGACACAACACAGCCGGTGACCACTGCGAGCGCTGTGCTCCTCTCTACAATGACCAACCCTGGCAGGCTGCCAATGGCATCATAGGGACACCGAATGAGTGCCAGAGTGAGTGATGGGGCAAGAGAGTCAAATGCAGTGGTAGGACACACAGCATGTAGCCTTATCTCGAAAATGGATTTAGTCTCATAAATCACATGTAACCTTTTAGACGCTCATGCGTTGTGAATAACAGAGCAGCTCCTCATTTCATGCCTGTAAGAGATGTTGCTGCTATCACTAGAGCTTTGAAAGTTCAAAGATCAGCAGGGCAAAGAAGAACCTCTTAGTCTGCTTGATTGTACATTTCCATCTGAACCCAGAGTGCAAGTGCAATGGTCACGCCAAGAGCTGTCACTTCAGTCGTGGACTGTGGCTCGCAACAGGACGGCGGAGTGGTGGCGTGTGTGACGACTGCCTTGACAACACAGAAGGCCGTCACTGCCAGAACTGTAAGAAGGGCTTCTTCAGAGACCCCAGCCGACCAAAAACAGCCCCTGACTCCTGCAAACGTAAGGCCCTTCAACGTGTAGCTTCTTTTTTCCTTAAACCATAACTCTGTCTGGATGAATGCCAGCAGGGAATTTCAATTAGGAGGGGCAGCCTTTGATATTTTGAGGACAGTAATGGAGATTAGATTTTTTTTTTGACCCTCCAGATTAAAGCAGATTGATCTCTTTGATATGGGTATTTCCCCCCAGCACCTTTCTGTGAGCCATGGCCCTGTCAGTGATGAGATAGTAAGATGACTCTACTCCTCTCCTTAGCAGGAATGACGGAGAACTCACTGTCTTGGAATGTGACTGTAATTGCAAACAATGGAGGAATTTCCCATGGACCATGCGTTCACATTTTTCCCATTCTTGCCCTTTCCCCCTGCCAGGCACTCTGCAGCATTTTTAAGAATAAACATGCCGTTTTTGGAAACAGATCTGTAACAAAAATCAATCTGTCATCACAAGCGACCATCAGGCAGCAAGTCTGACAGCGCAGAGGGCGAGTGATTTACTGTTTGTTTTTGCTGCAGCTGCTTAAAGCATGTTGAGTACATACTCCCAGCTTGTCGCTTGTTACAGGAGGATGATAAAATACATTTAACTTATATTGCCATGGGAGTTCACTGTGTACACTCTGAATATGTTTGTTTGTGCTTCTACAAGTGTGTTTGTCCTTTGAATACACACAAGCTCATAATATTCACTGAGTGCTTACTAGGACTGTGCCAGAAGAGGAGACAGGTCTTTTGACTTACAAACAGAAATGTTAACATGCAGTCCTCTTGTTCTGTCACCCCTCTCCTCTGCAGCCTGTTCCTGCCACCCTGTAGGCTCGGTCCTCTCAGGTGGTAGCACTCTATGTAACCCTAGCAGTGGGGAGTGCACTTGTAAGCCCGGTGTCGGAGGACCCCGCTGTGACAGCTGCATGCAGGCATACTGGGGGCTTCATGAATACGGCTGCCGTCCATGTGACTGTACAGGGGACTGTGACCCCTACACTGGTGACTGCATTTCTGGGTGAGAGCCAAGACTTAATACCATATCCTTATGTGTTTGTACTTAGATAAAGTGATGTGTGGTGTAAAGGTTGAGTGCATTCTGGATGATTAACACTGAGTGGAGCCCTGCCTCTGACTGGTTTTACCTCTGCGGCACAGCTCTGATGTGGAGGTCTTCTATACAGCCACTGGCCACATGGGACACAGCAGCAATAATAGTGAGACGGCACTCTTTAGGGTAGAGGAGCTTTTCTCTGCACTGCACCACTCTGGTGAGTCACAGATCATATCACACTTAATAAACTGCACACACAAAGATAAAAATGCAGCTGTTTTGATCTTGAAATCTATGCATGCTGTTGGAGTGATTTATATGAATCTTATTAATTGTGTTTGATTTTTACAGAGAAATGTGAGTGTGTAGAAGTGACCCTTGGCAGCACTAAACTCTTCTGTGCTGCGGAGTATGACTATGGTAAGTGCTATTTTACAGCTGGAATTGATTCAGTATTGTTTGACCCAATAATGGCAGTCAGGGAGGGTGAGGTCATTTAACAACATAATGGAGTCTGTGACCGTTTAAAAACCATCAGATCTGTCTATAATAAAGTGATGAATGCTGAAAAATGCCTATGGTTTTTCCACTTGATATCTTGTGTTGTGATTCCTCAAAGGTACCTTTAAAGGAGTTTTCTTATGAACAAACAATTGCCCTGTTTACAATCAGTATTACTCACCAAAATGCTTTATGTGTTTCCTCAAGGCCCATCAAAATGTATTGAAGGCATTTTCTTCCACATAAACAATTTGCAAAGCCAGATTTTTGGAAAATTGTAAAACCTGCATTATTCACACCCATGTTTACTTGAAGTGTTCTTCTTTTCTTCTTGCCTGCCTTTGCTGGCACCTTGCTTGCCTCATTACTGCCACTGTGTCACCCACATCCCTGTGCACTAGAACAAACAAAACAAGTGCTCCATAGTGCTCCCAGTGGTCAAAAACTTCACAGGGTAGCTTTAAATAAGTACTACCGAAATTTAGTATTGCACTTGCAGTTTTGAGAAAAAAAATGGTCAGAGTTGTTGCAGCAGAGGCCAAAATATCTGACTTTTAGTCTATAGCAAGTATCAATACAATTCCCATGTTGCAACTTGACAGCATCTTTTCATTAAGCCCTCCCTCACAGAGGTTTCAGAGTTCTCCTCATGGCCAGTAAACTGATTTGGATGTCTAAAATTGGTGAAGTTTAAAGAGTGTAAAAGAGAAGTGTGAAGAAGGTCAGTACTGATGAATTGCATTTTGTAGTTGGTAGGCTGCTAATCTGATGAATGTTTGTGTTGCTTTGATAGTGCTGGTGTTGAAGGTAATGTCAGCTCATGATAAAGGCTCCCATGCAGAGGTGGAGGTCAAGGTCAAGAAAGTCTTACACCAAAACCCTCACATGAAGATCCAGAGGGGAAACGTCACCCTTTACCCAGAGTCCTGGACCACCCAAGGCTGTACCTGTCCCATCCTCAACCCCGGTCAGTTGCAACCACTTCCAATGAGAAACTTTATTGCTCACAGTGCAGAAGCTTATTAATTAGTCGACTCTTGAGTGGACAATCTGCCAGCTTTGTGCTGAATAGAGGATCTTTGTCGCTGCTCAAGGAGGCTTTGAATGTGTGCCAACGTCCTAGCATCACTCATTTAGAATGAACATTTACAGCTTAAAGATTAGAGCTACCTCTCTGTTACGAGACTATTTCACATCTAACACTTTCACAATAATCATTCTGGCAACATTCATCCAAGCCAGCCTCAGCAGGACAGTATTTAACTGGTTGATTATAGTTACATAATGATGTACGCTCTTTTTACATAAGGTGATTTTTCGCAGTTCTTTGAATTTTAGGCACATTCTCAGTTTATGTTCTGCTCTCTCTTCTCCAGGATCAGAATATGTAGTGGCTGGTCACGAGGACTGGAAGACCGGTCAGCTGATGGTCAACACCAAGAGCCTGGTTAAACCGTGGAAGTCAACCCTGGGACGCAAACTCCTTCACATCCTCAGAAAAGACTGTGGCCACTGGTAGGGCATCGCCAAGAACTGTTGTGGACAGAGGGACGGAGAGGTGGAGGATCGTCTGTGAAATGCAGATTATTTGTGGGACGAGTTGAAGGAGTGCACAAAATGAACAGAGGGACTGTGTGAATTAGGCATTTTGCTTGGATGTTAAAATGAAAGCAAACCCCTATGCCTGCTACAGGGATTTCAGTGTTTCTTCTGTTTTCCACAGCCCAAACAAACCACTGTGGCGCTACAGTGCCGTGGTTGCTGTTAACCTGTGGTAGAAATAAGCACACTTACTACTGTAAGCAGATACCTCACCAGAACTTTAGTCACCTAAGAATCAAAGAGAACAAAGCAAACCATCGGGACTCTTGTCTGGACAAAGTTGACGTTGGTATTTCATTCCTGTGCTACTGTATGATATTCCTGAGCTCACCTCCGTCTAGGTTATTTATAAAAATTTAAGGAATGTATGTTAAATACTCAGTTATTTGCTGACCAAAGATGCTGTCAGAGCTGATGAGCCAAAACATAGTCACGTACTATTGTATCAATTTCATTGAGAGCTGTTTACTTTGAAATCTTGCAAAGGCGCAGAATTATTCTTGTCGTCTCGCAGATATTGCCGATAAATCATGGATGAGTCAACATCAGAATGTGTGTGTGTGTGAGCGTGGATGTGTGCATATGCTTGATGTCCTTGGCGGGGAGTCTGGGACTGTACAGGTCAGAACAAGTAACTCCTGGATGAGGGGAGAGGATGAAAAAAACATTAAAGGAATCAGACGGCTTAATCTGAACAGCTCTTCTCTGCTCCGGCACACTCGCCCGCCTGCTGTCTGACAAGAGCAAAACACACCCTCTCTGGTCTGGAGTACATGCAACGGGCTAAAATACTTGGGATTGAGTTTGCTCTTAAAGCTGCTTCAGTTACAAGAGTGAATCATTTTCAGGTTCTGTGAGGATTTTCTGCTGTCCTTGTTCAACCTGCTCCCATATGAGGAGAATTCACTTGAGAAGGCCTCTCTGAACCTGACCCTGTGGGAGCTAATGTGTGTGTGTGTGTGTGAGAGAGAAAGAGAGCACACACTCTCTTAACATATGCTTCTCTTTTTGGCCTGTGACTTCTGCTGTGCCAAAATAAGTACGTATTAAAAGCCCGGGTATTCATTGACATCAGTGTATCATATCCAGAGTCCACAGGCCATTTTGAGCCAGTTAAGAATAGTCTTGGTCGGTTGTCTCCAAGGAGAAGGACAAACTCTGTGAGGAGACATGATGCATTCCTCAACCATGACATCACCGCCCATGTCCTTGTCCCAAAGACTTTACCAAAATAAGAGAAAATGGGGTTGATTTTCATGTAAAGGACAAAGTGGTGATTTAGGGTGCTTGAATGTACTCTGCTGTCAATGTGATATTTGTAATGCTATTTCCGTGTGTCCTATATGTTCTTTTTCATCTAAACTACATAAACTACATGTCACTGTGCTCATTCTTAATGCTTCTGGGAAAAGTCCATTTCATTACATGGGGACATTATGCTGAAGCATGAAGATATGAATATCCTGACACGTCTTATTGTACCGTCTTCACTAGCAGAGGTGGCTGACTGATGTTTAACCCGTGTTTTAGTGCCGCCCTCCTTTGGTTAAAAGAGAGAAATACACCTTTAAATCATTAGTTATTGGTAATTGAAGTGTGTATGCTCTTAAGCCTTTATGAATATGTACACAGTAATCAATGCAAGATTTATAACAATTTATTTCTTATAAAACCTCCTCAAATTAAAATAGAGCAAAGAAATATAGAAATATAAATATTTCATAGCAGTTGTTTTTTCCTCACCAGGTCTTAACAAGGAAATGAAGCATAGTATTTTTAGGCGAACAGTTCGCCAAAACCTTTTTTGCATGAATCTTTTGCATATATTTCTTTTGCATAATTCCTAAAAGCAGCACATCAAAATATGACTAAAATGACAACACTACATACAAGATGTTTGTCTATTGACTTGATCCTTTGGGAACAAAAAAGTACTAGTAAGCTACTGCCATGACACAAGTCTTTTGCTCTTGCTCTAATTACCTAAAGGTACTCAAGCAGTGGAAATGTAGGTTAGAGAAATATTGCATAATTGCTATCAGTCTGCAGAGGTTTGTTGTCTCAGAGCTGTCATGCTCCTCCCGGTTCGCCTTGACTTTTGCCGCATGCTCAGTAGTCGTCTCCCCGGCTCACTACCTCCTTGCAGGTAGGCCTGAGTAGGATAGTGTGCTCGTACTGGGCGGTGTAGCTGCCCTTGATGTCACAGAGAGGTGGGTAGGGGTCTATGATGCCAAGGTCACACAGATTCTTCAACGCCATCAGGTACTTGCTCTCGCCCAGGCGGTCCAGCCAGCG